TATATATATATATATATATATATATATATATACCTCTTATTTATCAGGGACATTTCCTTTTTTTTTTTTTTTACTGCACTGATCCTGCTCTGTGGCAAGTGGTTCCTGTCTAGTTATACTTGAAATTGTCAAATCCATACTATCAGTCATGATAACTTCATATTTATGTGGGTATGATATATCTCTCCAGTCTGTTGAACTTGAGGTGAATACAGTATGATCCTCTTTCCTACCCCCACCAGATGGCTGGGTTTTGAATTGCAGTTGACTTGCTCCCAGTATGATACTCTTTCCTACCCCATTGGATGTTGGTTCCCGATGGCTGGGCTTTGAATTGTAGTTGACTGACTGACTGGTATGATCCTCATCCTACCCTTATGGATGTTAGTTTTGGGTTTTGGATTGCAGTTGACTTGCTGACAGTATGATCCTCTTTCCTACCACATGGATGTCAGCTCCCAGTGGCTGGGTTTTGGATTGTAGTTGACTTACCGATGGTATGATCCTCATCCTACCTCTACATGGATGTCGGTTCCTGGTGGCTTGGTTTTCGATGCAGTTGACTTGCCATGTACAGTGGTTTGGATCCCTATCCAGTCATTGTTCTTTCCCTTTGGGATGTGCTTCTCCCATTTTCTGCCCATGTTTGCATCACCTTTTCTACATTAGGCAAAGAGTATACCTGGTACAAAAGTGGTGTGATCTCCAATGTATGGTCCTCTACTGCGAGGATCTCCACTTTTAGGGTGTTCTTTGAACACTTTTGAAGAATTCTTTTTTCTTTCCTTTCACCAATCCTTCCACCTATTCAGTGTGGGATTCTAGCTATTAATGTATGAAGAGGTAATGTATCATATTGGAAGTTATTTTCCTATACTGAAAATATTTTTCTGATAGGTACTTACTTCTGTTCACACTTCCCACCTTTCCTCCCCACTGAAAACTGGTGCTTCCATTTTCAGCCAAAACTCAAAGTAATTGTTTGGTAGAATCTAATAAAGGGAGTCACATGCAGCAGGAGGAAGCATCACACTCTGATTGGTGGAGGTTTGTTGCATGATGATATACATGCTATACATGGTTGAACCATGTTGATCGTGGAGTATATGGGAGTTCAAGGCTTGTGGCATCTGCAAAAAATTGTTTTGCATATAGAGAGCAGCACTAAAGGAGAATAGCTATTTGTGTTAGAGGAGGTAAGCACCTATTGTTAAAATACATTTTTGGTATAGGAAAATCATAACTTTACCATTTAGATTGACTCAAATTTCACTGAATCTAATAATACATTTGTTAAAGACTGTTATGAAATAAACTGTTTTTATTTCAGAAGGAGACTTCACCGATAGCTGTTTCATTAGTTTAAGGGTTTATCTTAGATTTTTGTAATTTGATTGAGGGTGGATAAAAATGTCATGACTATGAAAGCAAGTGTTTCATTTCTTTTAAAAAATAAACTTCCAAAGCTATACATGCTTGAAAGTTGAAGTATATGCAACACATAGCAGAATTATGCACTTTAAGAAGGTGCACGTAGTACACAATGTGATTGCTGTCTCATCCAGTTCTCTAACCCTCATCTGACTAACTTATATACCATCCATTCATTACCATTGAGGTTCACATATTGCATCATAAAAAGTGATTTTATGTTAAAACACACTTGGTGGAAAAAACTGACCAAATCATTCATAAGTACAATAATTGCACTATTGAGGATATTTTTGTTGTGACTTGTAAAGCTTATGGTTGATCTGTCATCTTTTAAGCTATCCTAGCAGTGTGTTGTTACTAGTGGTAGGGCAAATAGGATTTTGGGTTGTATCTATAGAAATATTGAATACAAGTCTGAAGAGGTTATAATTTCATTCTATGGGTTACTGATTAGGCCACATTTGGTGTATTGTATTCAGTCTTGGGCTTTTGACTCTAGAAGAACATTGAATTGTTGGAAAAGTTTCCGAGGATGGCTACTAGGATGATACCTGAGATAGAAAGGTTGTCGTAAGAGGATAATCTAAGATCCCTGAAATTGTTTGATCTTGAGCAAAGGAGTTAAAGGGGATCTGATTGAGGTGTTTAAGATTGTTTAGGGAATTTACAGTGTCGATACATCACCTTTTTCATACTTAATGGTGAGTATGGTAGGACTAGGGGATACAAATAGATTTTTACAGGGTGGGAGTCATCTTACTAGCTAGCTTTGAGTTTATATAGATTAGTGGATGGGACGGCTTAGATAGACCAACAGGCCATTTGTTGTCCTTAAATGTTAAAAGTGGTATATCGTGCAACCAAGCAATTTGATGCATAGATAATTAAGAAAACATCTTTAAAAAGCTGATGGAACATTGACTTTACTGCTAATTCTAGGGTTAAAAATCATATATATATCCTCTTTAGACATAAAATTTATAAATTCTAGTTATTGATATCAGTGTGTATTAAAGCCTCATATTTGTTATGTCTCTTGAAGGGAATTATTTGACCATTTAATAAAAATAAAATTATAGCACTTTTTTGATCTTTTATCATAAATGTAATAAAAAAACTATAAATTATTTAATCATTGGAGCAATTTTTTTTGATAAATTACATATAGATAAGTACTTTAGAAATCTGATGTTATGTTAATATAATCAGAATACTTTTTACCCCATGAAACATTCATTGTTAGTATTTTTCTTGTTTCCTGCAATTTTTGCAGCTTCTTATACAGAATGACTCAGGCTTATATAATGCTGCTTGAAGGTTGTACTTACCTGCACCTGGCTACTGCTTGTTTTTGTTTTAGAGAGTTGTATTTCTGCATTTAGATGTATGTACGTATACTCACTGTTAGATCAGAGGTCAAAGAGATGTTTTAAAAAATTTTAGAAACACTAAGAACATTTCACACTTATTGATACATAGCTCATTACAGATGTTTAGTGAAACTGTGTTTATAACTTGCTACTCTAAAATTTTTTACGAATATGTTTTATCTGAACCTTACTGATACTAGGAATTTTACGTGTTTATATTGTAATTCATGTGTGTGTGTGTGTGTGAAATTGAAATGGAAATGTATCTACTGTTATATAATCATTGAACTTGTTATAAGCCTCTTAGAAAACTAGTTTTTACATGGAGGTAATTCAATTGTTCACGAAAATAATGTGATGGTATTAATGCCAATTTGCAATGTAAAGCTTATTCATTGTATTTAGTTTCTAATATGCATCTTTTATCTATTCAAGTTACAGAGAGGCTTATGTAACACCATTTGAGTGTTTTACTTGTTTGTTCCTGGCTTGTTCTTGGGACATATCAGATTGTGTTAAGGTCATACCAATGTAATATTTCATCACACACGGTGATTACAAGCTATAAAAATGGAAAACCTGATTGTTTTAGATATAAAGAAGGAAGAACTGTTGGTTTTAGATGACAGTGGGACCATTCGAGTTTATGATTTTTCAATATGTGGAAACGTGAGTCAAAAAGTAGCTTTTAACCATAACTTTAAGATTACTGCAGAAACTACTTGTTGGTATCAGAAACTTGTATTTCTGTATTTAGATATATGTACATGTACTTATTGTTAACTCACAGTTCAAACAGTTTGTTTTAAGAAATACACTAAGAACATTTCATACTTATTGATAAGTATCTCATTACAGATCTTTAGTGAAACTGTGTTTATAATTTGCTGCTCCAAACTTTATTGTGCAGATTGAATTTGTAGGCTTAGCAAAAGATTCTAAAAATTTTTTGTTGTATATTTTAGCTAGTATGTGTTTATGTTTTAATAAGTGTGTTTTATTTGAACCTCACAGATACTAGGAATTTTACATATTTGACTTCTGTGCATATGTGTGAAAAAAATGGAAGTGATTTGTATTTTGTGTTTTATAATCATTGAATTTCTCAGAAAAATAGTTTTTTCCATAGATGTAATTCACTTGTTGAAGAAAATAAATTAAATAATATGAGTGTGTTTGTTCAAGTTTCTGTGCATAAATTTCCAAGCTTAAATTTATTGAGTATTAACCAATTGAATTTGATAAGGCCCATAGTAACTGAGAATTAACTGGCTGATAATAAATACAGATGTCTCTTTGTCTAACCCTGAGAGTACTGAAAAGTTATTGGTGCATTATAGCACTTCCAAACATAAGACGTTCCACATGGAAATTTAATAGGAGAAGAAGAAGAAGAAAAATGCAGATGGAAGAGATTTCTAGAAGAGAAAATCAGGTGAGTTGATACAACTGTATTGTTTATTGTGCTTTAAGGCATAAAAAATTATCATAATTTTAAGTTCAGAAAAATATGAAGTCTATCTAGCTGAAATATAATAAAACAAATAACATTCATGTGCTCTAGTGTCTTAAAACCAAGATAATGTGTCAGCATTTGGTACGATTTGTTGACATCAAAACCAAAACCAGTTACAATATTTACACTGAACAAATATGGATTAAAAGCTAATGCATCAGTTTAAATTATTTGTATATTTTTCTTGTTATGTTCTTTTAGCTTTTAAGACCTTAATCCCAACTAATATGGGATTGGCTGGTATTCTTGTAACTCGAGAAATTTTACACCTGGGCAGCTGGCCCAGTCAGAAAACATGTAGGATGTGCATGTTCAGTGATTGGGGTTCATTCAGATTGTGAGTTGAATGTCGTAACCATCAGGCAATGCCAGGCTGGTATTATTTAGTAACTGAACTTAGTGTACTACTTTCAAGTAACACAACATTAAATTTGTTTAATTGTTCACTAAAATTAAAGTGTACATATAGAAAGTAAAGTGCTACAGTAAGTGTTTACAGTAAAGTTTATCAAATCAAAAACATTATGATAATGTATTGTATGATCAGTTCAATTATAATTGTAGACTAATATTTAAGTAATAGTGTCTGTTTATGAGCATAATGTACAGAATATGTTGATATTGTAACCATAAATTGTTTTTAGGAGTTGATATTCTAGAGATGTATGTGGGAGTCATAAAGGTATGTTTTTCTTTAGGTTTTGAGTTGCTGATTTTTGGCTGATATCGTAGTTTTATAAAAGTATTGTTTAGCACCAGTGGCTTTTATTTTTTCATTATGAACTCTTAATAACCATTTACTTTCAAATATTTTTATCATATTTAACAGCTGAATTAGAAATTTTCACATATTTGATTATTTTTTCAAATTGTGAGTATTTTTGTTGTCAGATAATTTCTGTTGTTTACATAAATTCCTGTGATTGTTAATTCTGATTCAAAATATTTCATTAATGTAGGTATTACTGAGAAGAATGCACATAATTTTTAAATTATCAAACCAGTAATTTCCAAAGAAGAGATAATTTTAAGGCAGTTTATGTATTCTTTATTTTTACCAGTTAACATCAGTGTTTGTGCCAATTTGTCAAATCTAAAATACAATTCTTTTGCTAATTGTCAAAATAAAAAGCTTTTACTTATACTTCTTAATAGTATAAATATATACTGTGTTGTTGTTGAGCTTAGGATTCTTCTACAATAGGTGTCTGTAACTTGCTGGCAATAAATTCAACTATAAATGAACAGTATACACTTGCTTTCAAAGTAATATATATATATTCGGAACAAGTTAAACGTATGTACAACAAATTCTTTATAGAGATCACTATAAAGATTATAGGTATATCGTAACACTATATATAGTTTTCATGTCAAAAGTCCACTTAGGCCTATTCAATTACTTTAGAATTTCAGTTGACAACCCTAACTATCTTCCATTTTACTATTGCACTAGTATCATGATGTGAGTAACCATAATCATTTGATCTTCTTTCTTCTAAAATCCTCTGTTCCTTTTTTCAATGTGCATTCAAGCTGATTCAATTACCATGCTTTGACAGAAGAATTCTTCTTCTTTTTTTCCTTTTCTACTGTAACATATTAATCGTTAGGCTTATCACTTCTACAGTAGTTAACTTCACGCAGAGCTTTTCCTTTCCTGTAACTTTACTCTCTTTTGCTATTGTTTATCTGCTGTTTCTGCTCATTTCATACCATTTATATGTTTATCGCTTAACCGTCTGTCAACCTTCTATATTCTTGACATCAATGTATTGCACGTGATGTTCGATAGTCTCAACATCAATGAATTATAAACACACCTTCCAACAATTGTCTGCTTTTAACTCTTATTATAACAAAAACTTAACAATAATAAAATAATCACTCATAAAATTAAATTAATCTATAATATCTAAGCACTCAGTCTCAGTACAGTTACTCAGATACCCTGCCAAGGCAGATCGTTACCAGAACTCCAACAGATGATGACTGATATCTGTCAATTCTGACTTGCTACAATCCTAAGTTAACTTACACAACACTGTTTTGTGCATAGTAAGTAAAAACTTAGATACTAAAAAATATAATGATCACAAATTACTTGTAGATGAGCATAGTAGTTTATTGTTTATTTTTTATGTTGTAACTTTGTGAAATTATATTAATTCTATTTGTGTTTGTATTACATTCTTTTTATGGACAGCTTTGTGACTGTCAACCTTCCTGTTTCAAGTGTTTGTCTCTTCATACTATCTAGGAAAATGTGTGTGTGTGTATTACAGAAAAACTTGTACATGCTCAGTTTAAAAGGATTAAATGAAACATGTCAAGTTCAAAACAGAAATATCCGAATTACCTATGTGCAAGTGTAGATTTATAGTTAATTGATGCATACAGGTATACAGTTACTTCTATTTTGTTCCACAATGCTCTTTGAAAATAAACTTCTATTTAGTGATGCTTGCTTAAAACTTGGTGAAGGTCTTCCATCAACAAAGATATTAGAATGCAAACAAAAAACAAACTCCTCCATGTGAACTGAAAGAAATGGAGCAATTTTATGACCCACAAATTTCACAGAAGCCAGAAAACATTGTTTCATTTTAATTCAATCAAACACCTTTTCTTTTAGAAAATCAGTCTGTTTTACTGTGTATGAAAATTACAATATGTAGTAAAGAACATTTTATAAGAAATGGCAAAAATATAGAAAATAAATAACCAATATTTACAATTATACTTTGGATTGAAAGTTATTTTTATACCAATACTGATAGATGGTGTTAATACCCGAACTATCTTGGAGCAAGCCTATGACAATGTGAATGAGCTGTTAACAATAATTAGTTTATTACCTTGCATCCAAATCTTTAGGAAAATTTTTAAAGCTTTTTGGGTAGTGTAAAGCTTTATAATTCATTTCAACAAATCTTCATACCCTCAACATACAGTAGGGCTATTTTACATTCAATGGGCATGTTGGCCTGGAAAAAGTTAACTGTGTACATGTTAGTAAGTGTACATAATTATAACAATTTATCATAAATTAACTTATGCATACAATAGCCTTAAGTTTATGAAAAGTTTAAACTCTTAACATAAATGAAAGACTTTGTTTTGTAAATATCATACAAGTAGGATAATTTTGAAGTTTTTGAAACTATAATACCTAATCATGAATTCTCTGTGATACAATTGTATCTCAACGTCTCTTTATTGTAAAATAAACTACTAAGAAGTGAGACTAGTTTAATGCTTTGTATATGCAGTAATGTTTAATATTTATTCTGAAAGTTATAACATATTTTTGTGTACCATTTTTGATGAGACTTTTTAAGTTATAACAATGATCCATACATAATCATATTTGATAGACTACAACCTCGTTAATCAAAGCTGTTCACTATTTGTATCTATGTTTAAAATTTTTAACACCTGTAAAACGGACAAATTGTGTTAACATTTTCTACTAGAGGTAGGATCACCAAACATCAATCTTCAAATTCGACTGCAGAAATGATATTAAATGAAAATACTAATCATAAATATTTCACAGTTTTTTTTAAAGGGAAATATTAAATATTGATGAAGATATGGCTACACAAAGATTGATGTAACAATAAATATTAGCTATATATTAGGAATGTTAGGTAATTAACACTGCAATTGTAAACAGCCTCATTCAGAATGCATTTACATAACACTGTATCAAGCTATAACATCAGGAAGTCTATTGGGTTTTGATATCAATTTTACATAACCGAAAAACTTAATCATTTTATAGTGAAGCGCTCAGTGGAACTAAAAGCAACCTCTCGTCTGTTAAACAGAAATTAATAACCCATCCAACCACAACAAGAGCATGCTGAGAAATTTTAACATATTGGCCTTTTATAGTTGTAAGATAATGTTTCCATTCTGAACTAGAATTGCAATTTTCACTACAATCATTGAAACAGTGGTCTGCGATTTCAATACATTGAGTTGGAGTAGCAAGCATTCCACTGAACCTAAAATTAGGCTAAATCATCATCTTTAATATATTTAAATATATTTTTGTATGCAATGGGTAAATTTTTTTGACCAACATGAGCTTACCCAATTTGCAGATATGGGCAGTGTTGAAAAGTGTCATAGCTTTAAAAATGTTTCTGAAATTATACATGAAACAATCAAGTACGAGTAAAATTTTGCACTTCCATTTATTGTGAGCTTTTCTGTCGGACCTAATCGGAACTCATTTTCTGAATATAATTAATAATGTTCTGTTAGATGGATTAATGAATTATTTCTGTTAATATAATATTCATCTATATTTTTGACAAAATTTGACATGTTTTAAAATTTTAAATCTTTTAGAATTCCTAGATTTCAAGTTACTAAGCAATCATAACAGTGACAAATCAATGGATTATTCTTGCAATATTTGGGTTAAAGAGATATTTCACTAATACAACAAATGCAGTCTATAAAATTCCAAATCTCGTTGAACCATTTTCAAGGTTAAACGCACCTCAATCAATTCAGAGGGTTATATTAACTGGGAAGAGCAGGTATTTTCAAGAAACTTTATTAAATCTTGGATTCCATCCCCCTCCGTGTTTCAAGTAACTAAATATCAATAAAGAATAACTATTATTCTAAGAAAATAATAAAATTCCATACATACAATTCATTTTTATATCATTTCATAAGTTTATAATACTTAAAAGGAAGATATAGGTGTGGCCTAGTGTGATTAGCATGCCTGGAATGCAAATTGAAGGATTTATGGTTGGTGACACATTGCCACAAAAATATACTTCATATATTTGGACCATGGTTACACTAGAATTTGTTCAAAGAAATGTAGAGCAAGAGTTGGTGACAGGTATTTTTGACCAGTGCCTTCTCTCAATCTCCATTATATCAGTTCA